AATGACTTCTGGATATGTAACGAGAAAAAATGAAGATTCCTAAAACTTGTGCTATAGTCCCGTTTTTAAGAATACCTGGAGAGCTTAGTCATCGCCTTTCTATGTGTCGAGATTCGCCAAAATATCGGGATATCCTGGGGACCTTTATGGACACAATAATGGGCCTTTAAGGCCACCAAATACACCCATAACAAGAGAAGACTGTCTTGTCAACCTTACCTAACCGTACCCATCCGCAACCTTGAGCAACTTGAGCAACTCTGAATTTTCTGAAGGACTCCAACTGAAAATAAATGAACTTCCTCGCAGGGTAGAATTTATGTTTTCAACAGCTCCTGTATGCAACATCTACGTGTGTTCATAAATAAAGAAGTATGTACATATGTAAGTTAAGATGTACGTTGTACATGAGCACTTGCTGTGTCTACCTGCAAAGGTAAATGTAAGAGGGGACTGGTGGCGCAGCGTAGAATATGCTTTAACAACCACGGCCCTTGTTGAAGTCTTCTTACAATGTAGTCGCAGTTATTTTTTTATTATTTTTTTTTTGTACAAAATTTCTTTAGTGAACAACATGCAACCTGACTACAACAACAGTGTTAGCAACGCATTTTACTCATTCATTCAGTCATCTATACCTTTACTCATTCATTCATGCGCTTTTCCTTATACATGCGACGCGCCATCGCAATGAATTGTGGGTGATTTCTACAAGTATCAAGCCGAGCCATATCACTTCAGACAGACGACAACATTCAACATCCTCTAACTAACGATTGCATCCTGTTCCTGTTCAAACGTGTGACACTGACGGCCAACATGCCTGGGGAAGATAAGTGGTATTGGTGGTGTTATTGGAGGTGGCACACAATGCTGTCGCAGACATGCGACACTACTCAAGAATACCTGCAACTCTCCAACGCAGCACGTAGGTGTAAGTAATTCTCACATCACTTATGTTCCTTTTAAGACGCGCCTAAAAGTCGACAATATTCATGACAGTATCAGTCAGAAAAGGAACCTGCTTTCACACCCCACTCTCACTGCTACGAATGATTCATTTCCCGCATACCTCTCTGCACTTCTTTTTGACAGACACAACAGCGAGTAGGTGGTAGCTTCGCAAGCGTGAGGCAATATGTTAAACGAACCGGAAACATGTATACTTTTTTCTAGTGCGAGCACTCCTAGATATCAGTAAGCGTGCAATAGCAATAATAACAAAAGCAAAGAGGCTGCAGAAGCACCAGCAGCAAAGGATCATGAGCAACAAATGGTACATTTTCTTCAACACATTTTTATTTTTATTTTGCGAGTGCTCTGCCTTGTAGCCATGACGTAGGTTGGTTGGCTGCCAGTATCGTTGCAGCGGACACTTAACAGCACAAAAGAGGGTCGCATGAGTGTGCCAAAATCTCAAATGCTTGCTAAGCTATAGAAATATCTATGTAAGTGCATACATACATATCGGCACTGAGGTGCATAAAGACGTCAGAAACATGAGCTACACAGAGCTGCAGCAAGCGAAGCATTCAAGTGTTTCATGTTGCTGCAGTACAACGGTGACAACAATACCGATGCAACACAAAAACGGCAACATGAATCTCATTGTGTTTTCGTCTAGCATTCCAAAGGAAAAAGTACACAACTCGTCAATAACTTAGCTGCTGAGCTGAATATTTTACTTTCTTTGTACGTGTACTAACATGCATACATATATCCGGGGGGAAAAATATTTAAAACTTCGACTTTGAAGCTTGTATTCAACCTAATGACACGTTCTGTATTTTCGAATGTACATATATATGTATGTACAGTTATGCATATATACATACACCTGCATACATATGTACATAAATTGGCACGTGCAACACATATTTACTAATCATATACAGTGTATAGTATATAAGTAGATATATATGTACGTATACTCGTACCTTTCCAAATGAGTAAAGAGCTCTTTGGCATCACAACTCTGCAGTTGAACGCGCTTACGCTGCACTTGAGCATGTCCGATATGTTGCTGCAGCTGTAGTCGCTTTGACAATCAGTCGCACTCTTTGTTGGCGACATTTCACACTTTTCTGGCATAAAGGAAGCGCGCAGGAAGTGCTAATATAATGCGCATATATTTTCTTTTCTTTGGAAGCACTTTTCGACGTGCTTAATTGCAGTTCAACTGCTTAGCAACATTGTAATATAATTGAGAGATTGGACTTGAGATATCAAATATGCGGTTACACTAGAATACTGTAGCACAAAAAGCTGAGGTAGGAGTAACAAAGTGCATCTACATATGTACATACATACTTAAGTGCATAAGTGCTTACGTAGACATGCGTATATGTATATTTGGAACGGTTTGACCTTCGTGGTTGTTTTCTACAAGATGCGCGGGAAATTTGTTTTCTCCAAGATTCGAGCTTTTATCTGGACTTGTTGGCAGCGTAGAAGCTTTATGTAAATATCATTTTGAAAATCAACGCATTCAAAAAAAAGTACTTTAAATTAGAAAAATACCTTAGTTAATTTGGTTTGGATTTTTATCAAACTACACGAAAAAATCTGCTAATTTTTTCATTCGCTTAAATAGCTACAGTGTCTTTAACACAAGAAAAGAAATAGATTGAACCATCCAAAGCACACGATTCACTTTATTTTCACTATTTAACACCATTAGTATTACCTCCTTATTGGAAATGTATGTATGTGAAAACACCCCATCCGAAAGCCTGTTCTGGCGTCATTTTAAATGACCAGCTAGGCATCAGGGTGGTGCAAGCTCTGCATAGTAAGGTTTAGCGTGATGTAAAATACCGCCACCATACCTACAAACATCAGTTAATAATTATACACATAAATATTAAATTACAAAATTCTTTATTCAATATTTCATTATATTATTTTTAAGTTGAAGTAGTATGTAGCGGTATATACTATTTAGGATCGGCCGGATCGTGCTTTGGGCAGCGGGGGGCCCGAAGGGTTTTTGGTAATGTTATTATATCATGGTCAAAATCTGCTCCAACCACCAATCGGATGGGAGTTGATGTGTAAAATTTAAGATCTGCCAGTCGGATATGATTTTATCTCGTAGCTGTAGAAAGATCGACGCTACTGGAGGGTATCAGGATGCTTAGGCGACTACTAACACCTAGCGTCATCTGCCAATATTCCTTTATGCAAATTATGGAATTTTTACATATGCTCTTGTCAAGTGTCATATAGCTGGAATTATTAAAGTAATACGTGAATGGCACCTCAAAGCATGCTCAGTCTAATCTGACTTACAACCATTGGCCTTTCGACGTCTACTACAGTTGCCACGTAAAGGAGCGCAAATTCGGTGTTGGATTTGTGCTGGGAGAGAGATTTCGTCGCCGAGTACTAGCGTTCACCCCAGTGGGCGAAAGTCTAGCCACAATCCTCATTAAAGCGAGAAGAGAAGGACGAGGTGTTCAAGCATCTCTTCTATGAGCGCTTGGAGCTTGGGCTGCCCTCGAAACGATATCAAAACCGTGCTTGGCGACTTCAATGCCAAGGTGGGCAAGGAAGGGCTCTTTGGCGCCACTGTCGGAAAACTCAGCCTCCACGACGAAACGTCCGATAACGTGCTGAGGCTGATCGACTTCGCCGCCTGACTTTGACGAGGTACGCGTAGCCATTACGCGGCTGAAAAATAACAAAGCTGCTGGAGCTGACGGCCTGCCAACTGAGCTATTCAAGTACGGTGGCGAGGAGTTGATAAGGTGCATGCATCAACTCTTATGCAGAATATGGTCAGATGAACGCAACTCCGACGACTGTCATTTAAGTGTGCTCTGCCCAATTCACAAGAATGGCGTTAGTTACAAGGTTTTATCGAGTGTATTGTGTAAAAGAATAAGGCCCACCGTCAGCGAACTTTTTGGGCCTTATCAGTGTGGCTTTAGACCTGGAAAATCCATCACAGACCAGATATTCACAATATGTCAAATCTTGGAAAAAAACCGCGACACTCACCATCTATTTTTGAATTTCAAAGCCGCTTTCGTCAGAACGAAAGAAGTTGTCTTTATGCCACGATGTCTGAATTTGTTATCCCCGCGAAACTAATACGGCTGTGTAAAATGACGTTGAGCAATACCACCAACTCTACCGAATAATCTACGACAACTAGATTACTCCTCTACTATGTTTAAACAGCAAATACTCCATAAGAGTAATAGTGATGAGCCAATGGGAAGTTGTCACAGACCTAGTCTCAGGGTCGACGGCAATTTATGCAGATAGCTCCAGAAAGTGGGCAGTTTTCGAATAACGGGCCACTGAAGCGTTGATTCGCAATAGAGAAGACTTCGTTATTCGAAGTTCGTTATAGAGATGTTTGACTGTATATCCAAATTAACGTGCGATTTTATTTAAATAAATACTTTTCAGCATTATTTTTTAAATAACACTTTCTCCTTGGTATCTTTTGTGTCATTTAATGACACGCTTTTTTCTTATCTCCGAAAATGGCTCAAGAACGCCCTACTTTAAAATTTCATTGAAAACCGCCCTATGTAGGAATTTGGTTGAACAACACCCTATCTCAACTGAAAATATATTGAAAATGTGTTGATTTAGGGCGTTTTTGCATCAGAAGTTGCGATAGGGTGTTTCTGAACCGAATTCTGAAATAGGGCGTTGTTGGAAGATTTTCTGAGATAAGGTGTTTTTCAACCGGCTGCCGAGATATGACGATCTTCCACTCAGCTTTCGAGATGCTATGTTTCCAAACCAATACACTGAGGGAAAAACTGAAATGTTAAAATAACTCCGATCACCGTCATTTTTACAATTGTGCAAAGTTCAAGAAAACCTATTTGATTTAACATTTAAAAATGACCACATAACAATTTTAAGGTTGATTTAACAATTCAATAGTCGATCTAACTAGAAATAATTTCAAATCAACATTGTTTCAGTTTTCTGCAAAATAACTAAAAGTCATTTTTACTTCCACACTGTTATTGTTAATTTGAAATTGCAACATTGTCGAATCAAAGTTGTTTTGCGGTAGATCTTACTTTCTTGAATTGTATCTAGCAACAAAACGTACATATGAATAACGGTTCCTGGTTTACTGATCTACATTACTGCATGAAAAGAAGCTTCATTTGCGAAAAATTTTTGACGCGTGAAGTTCGGTTGTGAAAGCAAAAATTTAAAAAGGTGATAATCAAAAGATTTTTATAGAAATGGAAAGTGAGGAAGTTTTTGAAAATGTATTCTACGCAATAGGTGGCGAAGTGATTAATATAACTCCAGCTTCTGGCGAAGTGATTAATCTAACTTCAGGCTCTGGCGAAGTTATTAATACTATAACTCCAAATTCATTTCTGAGCGAGGAAGAAAACGACGACCACAAATTAAAGGCGCTTTTAAAAGGTTTTGGTATGGAAAATGTGTTTGAATATTTAAAATGTGAGTATTAAAGAATAAATAAAAGTGCAGTGTAAACATTTTGTATGCTTAAATCATTGAATCCAAAAAAAGATAGTTTTCCTGAGTGGTTTCATGAAAAATCTATTTGCGATAAATCATCTAAAGTCGAAATATACAGTGGCGAACATAATTGAGTGTATGGTGATTTTTTTTATTATTATTCATGCTATTACGATATAAACCAAACTTTATACAATATTTAGAAAATATGAAAAATGTTTAATTATACAGTAACATCGCCTATGAGATTTGAGTAAAACAAGTGTAAATTTTATGTGGCTAAAGAATCGCGTTGAGTTTTAATAACTATTTTGCTGACGGCTCTTGCGTTGTTTTTTTCTTATAAGAAGTGCAATTTATAAAAATTGGCGTTGATTTTTTTTAATTCTTCCAAATGCTCTTGTGCTTATTCTTCCACAAGAGTGCAAAAACAGTGCATCCATGCTACTGCATACCGAAAACTTTTCTAAAAAATTAGGTCAAAAGTTCAACTTTTTCTTGATTTGTATTGCGTTTGGTTTATATGGTTTTGGTAAAAGCAAACCTCGAAAGCATTACCTCGAGAAGCAGTGTAAATATTAAAAAAAAACACCATGTGCTCAGTTATGCTCCCCAGTATGCACAATAAAATATCTGCGTACAATTAAGAATGAATTTTTGTTTATCTCCATTTACCATTATAGCCGCACAAGTAACATATAGAAGTTTAAAATTTTTAAGAAAAGAGGATCTTAAAGAAGCTATTCCACCTTTAGGACTTCGCGTAGAATTTCGGGAAAAGCTTATCGGATGGAAAAAGCAAGAGGTATGGTATTCTAGCCTAATATCCACACCCGTTTTTAAAATGTATTTCATTTTAATAGTTTGACATTGACGATGACACAATTTCCGCTGATTCCAATGTTATAAATTGGCTTAATCGTCCAACGACTTCTAATACTTCAAGTAGCAGGTCTCCTGTTTGCCGAACATACATAAACAAGGTAAAAATTCGAAGTGTTATTGTGAGCGTTTTTGAAGTTCACAAGTGCATAGCACCTTTTTTTTTGGCCGAAGTTATTTCCCTATTTATATATAGCCTTTGATTTTCTACAGGATTTATTTACCCTGTTATCAAACACCGCACGTGGAACAAAAATTTTGAACTTCTACAAAGAGAACAACAGACTTGACAACATCAACAGGGACGAAATAATAGCTATTTTAATCGAAGAAATATGTTACGGAAACATTTCTCTTAAACCAAGTGATTTTCATTCGCTGGTAAACGAAATTTGCTCCGTTTTTCCTAGTGAAGTAGAAACAAAGGTGATTTTATGTTATATAAGAATATCAAATAAATTAGGGCACGGTTATAAGCAACATAAAGTTAAGTTTAAAATTAGAAAGTAACAAATGTAAAAAAGATTAATTTTAAAGTTAACTTTATTGCGATTATAAACATTCGCCATTACTTCTTGATAAAATAAATATTAAAATTTTCAGGAATATTACTATATTCCCCGGACTGGAAAAAAAAATCCGAGTGGAAAACTATTCTATAAATACGTGAACTGCCGCAAGGGCAAAAAAGGGTCGCATAATATTCCTCACAATGAAGAAAACAATACGCAGCAATGTACTGAAGAACTCAACAATTCCATTATCAGCGCTTTAAAGTTGTCACTCAGCAAGGAGAGCGCAGATTGGAACGAAGTTTTGGATAAGTGGGCTAAAACTTTTTCAGCCAGGCAAAAAGACTTGAAGAACTTGGCGAGTTCCGACTTTTTAAAAGCCTGGCCGAAATTGGCCGATGCACGGGCACCTGAGCTGGTAAATAAATAAGCATATTGTATTTTAATGTAAGTTCTATTTGTTTTAAATTTTTCACTTTATTTAGATTAAAATTGACTTCGATCTTTTGTACCCATTGAAGCAAGATTCTTTGCACTCTAAGTGGGACCACTTTAAAAAAAATATTGTGCGCTTTTATGAAACAAACATAAATAATGACACTTGTAAGCAGTTATTTTCGTTGGCAAAATCATTGACAAATAAAGGTAAAATTCTTATAATACGTAAGTATGCTAAAGACTCATCTAATGCAAATTTTTGTTAGATTCCCAGGATTACTTACTTTCAATATTGCTCACATCGGTATTACAAACATCTTCAAGGTTTACAAATAATTTGGGAAAACGCTCTAAAAAAATTACAATCATTGACGCACAGGAAAGTTTTATTTTGCGTATTGAGTCCATAAATGATTATCAACGAAAAATTGACGAAATTGTTTGTAAATATTATTCATGCCATTTGACAATACAACCTTTCCTAATTGTAGTTGGATCTGTTAATGATCTAAACAGCTTTTTCATATATTTCGATTCTACTTTATACAAATTTTCCACATTTCTCGAGAGCTTGGATGTTTGCTTTAAAATTTTTCAAGTTTTTTCCTTATCATATCCTGAAGGATGTGAATTAGTTTGGATTTTTATTCAGAAATATTTTTTTGACATTACTACAAAATTCGACTGCAAGTCTTCGAATGTGGTGTCTCTAATAAACTTTTTACAAAATACTTAAAACTTTCAATATGTTCATCTGTTTTCAATGCTTTAAAAAATTTCCTGAATCCACTGTTTTGATTCGTCACTTTAAATTCGACCATTTGCTGACAACGAAGTTTCTTAAAATAAAATGTGCCCAACACAATTGTGGTCAAACATTTACAAATTTTACAAGTTTTCAAAGACACTTAAACAAACAACACAAAGTTTCTAATAATGGCACATCTACTAATTATAACTCAGCAAATTATACCGAATCAATCAACAAAGTATCTAATAATGCCATGAATAACAATACTTACATTCCCGCAACTATAAATTATAAGTCAGCAGATTACATTATATCACATAACATAAGCCAAAATGTATTAGAAGATAACAATGTGTTGAATTTAGTTAGTAATTTAAAGAAAAAATCACTACATTTATGTTTAAGTTTACATCAAAACAATTGTATGACGAGAAAAAATGTACTTGAGGTGCAAAAAATGGTTACAGGTTTATTTAAATATGTATCAGAAGCAATTGAACATGTAATTAATATTCATATATTTAACGAAATTCGAGACGATTTCAAATGCATACTAAATTTTTGTAACGGCCCTTTTCAGGACATAAAGTCTGAATACAGATTGTTTAAGGTATTAAAAAGTTTAGGTCTTTACGAAGAACCAAACTCAATTACACTTAACAAATCTATTTCAAGAGTGACTGAACAGGGTAATCCGACCTTGGGTCCCAAAATTTCTGATATTCATATTCTTCCGCTATTATTTAGGTTTAAAAAGTTGTTTGAGATTCCGGGACTTTTGCAATTAACAATCGAAAATACCATCAATAGTATGAGAGGAACTGTTATTAAAAATTTTGCAAGTGGGGATATTTACAAAATGAAGAGTCAAATGTATAAAGATGACATAGTCATACCCTACATTCTTTATTTTGACGACTTCCAAGTGAATAACCCCCTTGGAAGCCACACCTTTTCAATTTGTGGATGTTATGTTTCTTTTCCTACCTTACCACAACGACTGCAATCAAAACTGAACTATATATTTCATGCTGCATTTATAAGCACCCCAAATTTAAAGAACATTGGGAACGAAAAAGCATTTTTTCATTTTATAGATGAACTAAAAATACTAGAAGATGGTGTTAATATCAAAACAAGAAGTGAAATATATAGAGTTCGTTTTATTCTGGGTGTGGTAATTGGAGATAATTTAGCAGTGAATTCTATTCTTGGATTTGTCCAATCGTTTAACTCCAAAAGATACTGTCGTGTATGCAGCAGGATGAAAGAACAAATGAAATGTGATACATCTGAATGCAAAGATTCTTTAAGGACTAAAGAAAACTATGCAAAAGACTTATTGGAGCATAACTTTCAATTGACAGGAATTAAAGAAGAATGTATGTTCAACAGACTAGAGAGTTACCATGTTACACAAAACTTTTGCTTTGATATAATGCATGATTTGTATGAGGGTGTATGTGCTTACGATGTGTGCAATGTTTTAATGGGGTTAATCGAAGAAGGTGTTGTTACTTTGAACGTCATAAATAATAGAAAACAATACTTTCAGTTTGGGGAAACCGAGTTCGGAAATGATTCAGCCGCTTTGGACTATGTAAAGCTAAAAAACTTTAACTTAAAAATGACGGCAAGTGAGGCCAAATGTTTTATTCACTTTTTGCCTTTAATGATTGGCGATATTGTTCTAATTGAGAACAAGCATTGGAAGTTACTTACCCTTTTATCGGAAATTCTAGATTTTTTATGCAAATCGACATACTTGCCCCAAGAACTAACTAAATTACAACATCTTGTAGAACAACACCATTTACTGTACATTAAATTATATGGAGCGCTAAAGCCCAAACATCATTTCCTCATTCACTATTCGACAGCTATTCAAAAATGTGGCCCTCTTAAATACTTGTGGGGAATGCGTTTTGAGGCAAAACACAAAGAAGCCAAAACATATTTAGGTAATACCACATCCAGACTGAATTCTCCTTATTCACTGACTGTTAAATCTGGATTACAATTTGCCAAATTTTTACTAGACCATGAGAGCGGTGTGGAAAACGAAATCGAATATAATGCCCTTAAAACTATAAATTTAACAAAAACAGACTACTTTTCTAAAATTGTTTACAATGAAAGTATTGATTATAACAATTGCCTAATATTAGAGGAAGTTGTTTATAAAAACACGAAATATAAAACCAACTTTTATTTAGCTTTCCAAAGCGATGTATTTAAACTTTATAAAATACATAACTTTTTATATCAAAACGAAAAGGTATACGTATTATGTTACCCAATCCATATAAAAAAATTTTGTGCATTTTCAATCATTCGAAGTTGGCAGTAAAATTGATGAAATTCATATTATTGAAATATCCAAATTTTTAAGTAAGCCATTGCACCTGTATTCAATAAATAATGGCAATACTTATTGTAGAGTTAAGTATGTTTGATTTTGTATTTATTATACTGTGACTCAATTGACCATACAGCAACATTTTCATTCAACAAATTTTCATTAATATTTTAAACAGAATTTTTAGTATGTATGTATGTACATGAAAATTAATTCAAGCGTGCGTTATATGGAGGAAAACAAATCACAAAAATCAAAGCGAATTTTGAGCCACTTCGATTTGCACTTTATCATAATAAAATTGAATGGACTGAAAACTACGTACTAAAAATTCCATTAAAAAATTTATAATTTTTAAGAAAATTTTTTGAATTGTTCTAAATTTTGGACGAATTTTGAAATTTTGATTTTTGTTATAGTATGAACAATTTTTTTTATAAAAAATTAACAAAAAAAATTACTTGTTTTTTTAAATTAAAATAAAAGAAAATTAAAAAAATATATAAATAACTTGTTTTTATACTTGTGGAAATTATAAGCTTAGGGTTTTTAAATGTTAAATATACAGTGCTAAATAGTTAAACCAACATTGAAGGCATGTTTGAAGCAACCTTGAAAAAAAGTCAAACCAACTACTTTTCAATGTTAAATTAACAACTCTATATTCTTACGTCAACATTGGGAGTATTTAAATTGACAGTAATCATTGTTAAAACAAAAACAAAGTCAAGTTTAAATCACTTTATTTTCGAAGTTGAATGAAAGATACGCATTTTTAAATCAACAGTAATGCAATTTGAATTGAAAAGAAACAATCTTAAAATATCAACACTATTTTTCAACGTAAGAATTACATTTCCATAGTTGATCTGACATATTTCGGCTTTGGTAGACTATCATAGCTGTTTATTGTAGAATCAACCTCGTTATTGTAGCTTTTACCTTTGTTTTTTCCCTCAGTGTAAAAATAAACATAGCAGTAGGCATGCCGTTGTGTATACGGTGTAAAACTTTTTTCCTGATTCTAATTTGATGTAAATTTCCAGCTTCTGATATGAGCTGCTGCAAAGTGCCTTATCTCTAGTCGCTACATACAACAAGTAATTTTTAGCAAAAAAAAAAACCGACTTCAACTCCAATATAAAAAAAAATATATATATATATATCTCATGATCCACTGATCGGATCTCAACCAAATTAGTATGGGACCACCTCTGAGACACTACCTTTCCGTTGCAATCGATTGATGTGGTGCAAAGTTATGCGGCAACATACATAAAAAAAAAAATAAAATAAAAATATTCCGACGAACTGATAACCTCCTCCTTTTTTGAAAGTCGGTTAAAAATAGAAATAGAGGACCATATACGGAAAGTCCATTGTTTCAAAATACAAAACAAAAACATAGTTCTTGGTTGCTTATTTTGCCGACTGTGATGTATTTATTTTTCATGTTTATTCTTACAAAATAGGTTCTGCAAGTATTTTCAACTTTCTCCAAAAATTTTTATATTGCTCTTTTCGTTTTTCAAAAGCTTTCAAACCGCATCACTTTCTTTTCGCTACATCAAGACAGGTAGTAAATTTTAAATTGACAGATTGAGCTCATGCATGTAAATAAGCGCATATCTATATATAACTAAGTATATATGTATGTATGTATACGTATAGCTGCATATAAATAAGACGTTTTTGAGGAAAAAGATAGTACATAGATGAAAAGTTGTTGCATCATGGGAATTTGTCTGCATTTCCACCAAAGTTTCTTTCTAAATTTTTTGTGTCGTTTTTCATGTTGCGGCGTAGCTGCATGTGAAGATGAAGATTCACCAAAGTAAATAGTAAAAGGAGTGATATGTTGAAATACTTACACTGCTACTTATTTATATATACATACATAGTACGTAGGGGCGGGAGTGAAGATCATACCGAACATTCAAAAATTATTTGAAGTTACAATTGCATATGTTCTTGTTAATATTTATAAATATGTACATATTTTCATCGGTATAAAAAACTTGATACTTTGAGTACTGTGTATAAGAAGCTGACCTTACAAAGCATTACGGAGATATCTAGTTTATCCATAAAGTAAAGTAAAATCCATAAAGTCTGAACTGCTCCACGTGTAAACTAGTACACCTTCAAATATGATATTAATCTTATGAAAATCGTATTCCTTTATAACTGCTTATTATATAGCATTCGTTACCTATGAGGTATGAAACTGTTCATTTTGGTTCTCCGCAAATGCAAATATTGAACCTGGTTACCTCGCTAAAAGGCACAACTTTACTCTGATTCGAGGTTTCCGTCCCCACAACTTTCATTGCAGCGAAATAGTATCTGATCTGGCTATATCTTAGAAGTTGTAAAGGTTTTCCTGTATGTGATTTTTATTGAGAAACACATCTCTCAGCACCAGGGACCGTAACAGGTACAACTTTTTATTAAAAAAATTACTCTTTAACAGTTATTTTTTTACTTTTATTTAATTGCTCCTTAAACAACATTTATTTTTTATTTTTATTTTAGAAATCCAAAATAATAATTATTTCTGATTTTTATCTAAATAATCTGAAAATAACAGTTATTCTTGATTTTTATATTATATGTCTTGGATAACAGTTATTCACCGATTTTTAT